AGAGCGTTACGCTCAAAACCAACAGGCCCGTAGCCAGGGGGGTTCGGGGGGTTCGAAAGAATCTCCCTTTTTGCTGGAAAAAGGTCCACTCTGGGTAAAATTTGACCTAGGTACATGGGAATTATATGGTAAAAGGTCCACTTTTTCAGAAAAAGACCCCCCCCTTTGAAATTGCTGGCTACGGGCCTGACCAAGCAATATTTCCACCCACTGTGCCTTATATGTTATGGTCAAATTGTCCTCGTCTACCGTTTCATATTCGCTGATCGAATAAAGCTATACTTGGGTACCTCTACCGTCGACATGCCGTGGGTCTGCATGTGTAACAGTGTTCGTGTGTTATTTGCGTACGGTACTGTTATCAGGTGTTAATCTCGATGCCATAATACAGACGTGTTAAAACTGGTATTTAGATAATCTCTATTTCGTGAAAGCCTCTGTTTATTTATCATTGTCACAAACATATTAAACCTAACATAGATAAATTTTAACTGTCATTACTTGGTTAGAAAATTATGACCTTCGACAGAATTAAAATTTTATGAAACCGGTATGTTAAACATTAAATATGTTCGATACGATCTGGAAGTCCTAATGGAAGTGTTTCGTTAATATATTTGACAGTGAAGATGACAATATCCTGTTAAGTATGGCAATCAAAAACTATTACTTTTCTTTGCAGCCCTTTTTTTATTTCAACCAAGTCGCCGTTGAAACCAAAACAGGAGATTCCTGACGCTTCAAGATGGGGAGTGGACGAAGTGGTCACATATTTCAAGGAATCGGGATTTTTAGAACAAGCAGAAGCATTTAGGGAGCAGGTAGTTACACTGCTTTTTGTGAATATTAGGCCTACCCCCCAAACTCAAATTTGAATTCTTATACTTTGATTATACATGTATGTCTGTCTTCCCCTTGCTAAAAGTGAAATCTCATCAGGTTGATATTTTCTAGCAATGTTTAACTTACCGATGTGTTTTTATTCGTTTTTATTATTCTGTAGGAGATAGATGGAATATCTCTGATGTTGATGAAGCGCTCCGATGTTTTGAGCGGGCTCGCACTGAAACTTGGACCAGCGCTGAAGATGTACAATTACGTGAAACAGCTGCAGTGTAGAGGGCAACCGCCGCTTCAGTAAAAATACATTTTGCACCTTGTGGAATGATTCCGATCTGTTAACAGACTCTACACAACGCTTCAGACCCAGTTGAAACATGACGACAGACTTGAAGAAAACGATTCCGTTGGTTCTATTATACTACAAAAAATGCAGCGGCTACATTGGTTCAATGACGAACTATTAACGTATTTTCAAAGAGAACACCTTATCCTGGATTCTTATTTTCAATTCATATTCATCTTTCATCTACCCTAATTTTCGTTTATATAATCATACGCTTAGATCTGTTTTTGAATAATAAATCAGAAATTTGCCCGCATTTCATATATATGGCATGAGTTTAGATTTTAACAAAAATTATCTTGTTATGGCATGCGTATACTGAGAAGAGTAGGTCACAATACACTCAGAAAGTGAGAGTGCTTATCATGGATTCTTTCCCTAGGTGAGGTCATTAGTAAGAAAATGTCCATCATCCATAATTATTAATCCTTTGGCTTTTTTTAGTTGATTTATTCGACATTTTATTATTATTATAGTTCATATCTCGCTTTGCTTATGGGTGTATCGGTGATATTTAACTACTAAACATCGTCCAATTACTGCAAAGTTATTAAAATGTATTGGTTTGTATGTTTTTCAAATGAAAATGGAACCTGTTATTTCAATCGTGTAGGAATCACCGCCGATGCATTAGAGGATCTACAAGACTCATCTAGCACAACCAACCACATTAGTATACAAATCGTTATCTTTTGGTCCCATCATAGCATCATGCATGATGGGACCAAGATGTAACTTATATTTATACGTTTAATCTCAGAAGAACATGCGATTATTATAATTTAGTAATTTTATTGGGCATTAAATAAGTTTATATTTGCGGGGTCTCTTAAATATTGTCTATATTCAATGTGGATCTAAAAAAAAAATAAATAGCATTTTACTGAATAAAATAAGAAAGATATTAGATAAGCAAATGGAATTGTGCACAACAATGGTACATTTATTCAATTATCTATAATTTCTAACCATGGGAACACAAACTACTGTTTGTTAATGTTAATAAGGAAAGGTTGGTATATAATCCTAATCACACAATCTGCTGGGATAGTACGCATCAACTTAATACTTCACAACTAAGTAGAGCCATGATCGTTCTTTATTCGAAATTCTTTATCTTATAAAATATATTCATGCATAATCAGAAATATTTATTCGTTTATTGTATACGCACATGCTAGTAAGATCCAAATGTAGTTAAAGGCTCATCTTCGACAGGTGAAAACATAAATGCCTAGTGTCTTCAATAAATTTTTCTCTTTTGTCTTAATATAAAAAACATTAACAAAAGAATGTTTCGTGCAAAGAATGTGCTATTTAAAAGCGAAGTTGTTGATCGGCTTTTGGCTATTTGCTAGATCTTTTCAGTTTTGTGCCCTCGCGCCTAATTTTGCCATATCTACGGTTAATTTCTCATGTGGCGCTAACTTGCATGGATTGTAATTGGCCTATATTCCAGTATTTGCTTCGTTATCAATATACACAATTAGTTTTGGGTAGCAACAGTGGCAATCAATTAATAAATGGGAAACCATATGGCATCATTCATCGGGACTCAGTTCTGACAGTTTCAATGAAAATATCAAATTGACTTTTACGAGACAATTGATCTTAGTAATGAATTAATATCATTGTGACTCTTCGGCAACGAAACTCAGTCAGTTTTCTATTGCTCAGTTCCGATGCTTCTTATGCGTACTTTGTAATTACCTCAATTTTTCGGCTTCGTTCAATGGAAAATACAACAAAGACATTGTAATTACGGATACAGTTTATTGTAATAAACACTTACAACAAGTCATTTATTTGCTTATGTTTTCTTTACCTCTTGTTTGAGGAGTTAAAGTTATTTGATTACTCAGCTTAGTTAAAAGATGGCGCAAGTCAAAGGATAAAGCCCAAGCTTAGCAATAGCCAACTGATATAAAATCACCTTTCAAAGGTAAAAATGATTTTTGCCAAGAAACGCTTTATTTAAATATATTTTGATATTATTTCCATAATAAGATAATATTAACCAAATCTGTACTCTCTCTCCCCTAAAACGTTTATTGTAAAAACGTTATTGTAAAGCGCACTCGGGCGTAGAGTAGTGCCGTATATATATATATATATATATATATATATATATATATATATATATGGACCGAGTTTTACTTTTACCTCACACCAATTCATAACGCTGTATGCAAACGCAGTTTTGCAATTTTTGTCTTTTTTTTTCAGTAAAAGCCTCCGTACTCGCGCTAAGTAATACAATGCTAACTAACATTATTTTGACACAAAATTCGCCTACTTTGCTTCTAATGATGTAAAGGACATTAACTGTACAAAATAATACCTTTAAAATAATATACTGTCCGACTGTACAAAATGATGTCAAATTAGACGATTGTGCATTATTAAAACTAGGCAAATATGTAAAGGTATACAGAGCAATTTAACACAAATAAGTTATAAAGCTGAAAGGAATAACAACTGTTCGTATGAAATTAATATTTCACTATATATAAAGGTATACAGAGCAATTTAACACAAATAAGTTATAAAGCTGAAAGGAATAACAACTTTTCGTATGAAATTAATATTTTACAATAAAAAGATTGTAAACAACTCATAGAAATAATAAATTACATTTTACCACAAAAACAGCGGTTATCGCAGTTCTAGAATCTGTGCTTGGAATCAGACCACGGCCTTTATAGATGGCTATTCCTCTAAACACCAAACCTTTTTGAAAAAAAAAAATATGAACTAACTCTGAATGTCGGAATGGATGCATTTACCATTAGTAAGTATGATAAAATCGTCATTTACCCCAGGAAAAACGAACAGTTGCTATCCCTTTATTTCTATATATCCAATTATTTGAAGGTGACCCTACATTTCAGACAAGATTTCTCCGGGAGATCTTTCTTCCTTTGACATTTTTTAAACAACACAGACTTGCTAAGGTCTGAGTAACGTGACTAATTTGTACCAGGCTGAGGATCACATCTACTGTGAAAACGATAGAAATATAAATAAGAAAAAAAAAGAAATATGCATATAGCATAGTCCGATAATTTCTCAGTATAACAGTTTGATACATGTAATTTACAGAACAGTTTGCAGCATGGGTTTAGATGTGTCCACGCCTGTGCTCATTGACACCCTACGCCGCGCGATATTCAGATCACCGTCGTCCATCCGCAAATGTTCTTCTTGAGTCGGGTGGTGACTATAGCTGATGACATCCTTCGGAGGAAGAGGGCGGTTCTTTCTGCAGCAAAGAGACGAAAACAATCGCAATAGTTCTTTTCGAAATCTGGTCCCAACGAAGCAGTAGATGACAAAGTTGAAACAACTTCCAAGTACTGTGAGGGATGTAGCGGCGATATTCAACTTGTCCATCAAGGTACCTTCTTGCAACGAGTTCTTCAGCTTGCAAGGCTCGTCATTTGTTACGAAAAAATATACCTGCCAAGCGCATTTTGGGAGGTTGGTGATTACGTACAGGCTTACTATCGATATGAGAAGGATAGTTAGATTTCTACTCACTGTGCGTCGAGAGGGCATCTCACTCCAGATTTTTGTGGTCTGTTTTATGTGTCTGATGAGCAAGCCGTTTAATACAGTAAGCAGGAGCCAAGGGATGATAAGCCAGACAATAGGGATTATGAAAGCGTGCAGAGCACAATGATACCCTTCAAAAGCATCCAGTGGCTTGCTAAGCAGTACGACTGGCGGGGGTGGTGGGGTTTTTTTTCCAAAAGGAAAAGGGATGAAATTTAA